ACGAATATCTTGGTAGGAGCAGTGCTGTTGGAAGGACATCTCTGTATTAAGGACCCGAAATCAAGCAATGGGCTGCGTTTGAACGAAGGGGTGTGGTAACTTCGATGTTATGGCACCTTCGAATTAAACAAGAGAAGCTCAAAAGGAAGGCAAATGCAAGAGTAGACTACGTTGCGGATGTCTTGATTAAGGCCGTAGAAGAATTGGCGGTAGAGTTCGAGATAACGGTGAGTACTTCACTCCCGTTTACAGCCGACATTATCTTCATTACTTACAGGATCGTAGACAGCTCAGCTCGTCTTTCCGCGTGAGAGAACAACGTACAGCACAGGCTTGCTGTTCAGCTGTACAAGGGAAACATGGACAGCATCCACAAGGTTGGGGACATGACGTGGAATGTAGATGCTACGACATCGGAGACGGTGTACCGCGTCGAATTCGTGAGCAGTGCACTTGTCCTGTTCAGGTTTGTGACCACAGACTTTTAATTAGTAATCATATGAGTAATAATCGGCATTGTTTTGAGGCCAATACTCACTGCGCTCGATGTCATGTATGTCCTTATACAGTGACCTGTTCATGCAGAGCTGGAGCTCTCGCTGGAGTAGCATGTGCACACAGCCATGCAGTGAAACTCTACGGTGCAAATTGTTAACCAAGAACGTGACCCATTCTCGTAATCCACTCAAATTCACTAAATTCAGGAAGCGAGCCTGTTATGGAACCGCCTGTGTACCTTCCACTAGAAACGAGAACTCGAGCTCCACCACACTGAAAGAGAGGCCAGGGCTCTCCGTGATGTGCGTGGGAGCCTCCACGCAATTCGTGATGAGATTGCTAGGGTAAGTTAGGTAGGCATCAGAAATTTCAAATATGATGGAACGATTCCAGAGCTATGCCTTGATCAATGCGAAGGTGAACGCGCTAGTCAGGCAAGGTAACGACAGCGCTCTCGAAACTCTCTCGATGATCGCGGAGCGCATGAGCATACTAGCCAATGAAGTCAATGTGCCGCTCAGAGGCATAGCACTTATTGCGAGACCTGATGTGCCGCTTACTGGAGGCAGACCGCAGTTAGAAAGGCAAGAAATGTATACGGTACGTTTGGGATTTGCGTGAACACTCAACATGGTTGCCTTGTATCATACAGTTGCAGAGAGCTCGCATTCGCAAACAGATGAGAAGAAGATCGCAATCGGCCGAGACCGTACAAGTCAACCCTGAAGGACATACTATTTTGCTCACTCTGTTTTTAGGAGGACCCCGTCCTGCCTGAAGACATGGACCCAG